GGCATCTGCTCCGAGGTCAATTACAAAATAGTAGCATGTGCCATAGCAGAGATGCCAAAATTAAAAAAAAAAAAAAAATTCAATGTGTAATGAAAGACAACTAATATAGAAGAAAAAATGAATACAAGAGTGAAAAAACCCAAAAGCAAACATACATGATGTACAACTCAAAAATAAAATATGTGAACTTTTTTTTTTTTTTGCAGCCTGTGAGGTCAAATATGACACAAAAGACACACTGTTTATACCTTCTGCCAGCGTTGTTGCTGTTGGGACAGATGAATGCCTACATGCCTGAGGAAGTAACCAGTTGGCCCTGGCATACCATTACATTTGGGGTTGGTGGATTTTAATTTAAAGGGACTCATATGGTTAGGAGTAGCCCGACTGAAAATGGTGGGAGATACAATCCCTGTTGTCAAGGACAAGTACAAAACTCCAGTACAAACTCAGTGATAACATTTGTTACTGGGCCTTAGAGTGGACAGACTTCACAATAAACAGACAGACAGGTAGACTAGGTAGGATTAGCTAAAGTCAAGGGAAACCAGAATTCAGATAGGTTTTAAGACAAAGAGGGGTCAGGGATACCAGAAAACAGAATGGTCAAGTTAGTAATTCGGCACTCCAAATGGCCTGTGGACCAGTATGTAGACTGCTAAACCCCTTACACCTCTCCAGTATAAATTCTGGTATATTGCTGTCTATCAACATCTAAGGATGCAGGATTACAGCACATTGTACACTTTGGGACCCTGTGATATTTTAGCAGTATATCTCCTGCTGGAGAGATAAGTGGAATTATAAATGACACTATAATGGTGATGCAGCCTTTTGAATACAGAGTAATTATAAGGCCAATATAATGACACTTACTCTTTGAAAGTCAATATGTTCATGTCAACATTTTTAAAGTGAAGCATTTCTTTTATCACACTTAACGCGATTGAGACCCATATTTTATAAGATGCTTATGAGAAGGCAACTAAGAGAACTTGAAAAGCAGAGTAAGTAACAGATCTATTCTTGAAAATGTCTTGTTTCCAGAAGCACTTATCTATACTTCTCAAGAACCACTGATTCATGTATCCAATTATGAAGTTCATAATAAAATAAATTGAACAGAAAATTGAAAATATGTAGCACAAGATAATTGAGCACTCTGGGGGATATTAAATGGGTCATTGTGAGCAGATATCATCTGTACTGAAGCACTGAGAGATCAGCGGCAATGTCTAGAATCATCTGGGTGACTCACAGACCAATTTCAAACTAGCGTTTGATATAAAACATGTATTTGAATATTCCATGAATTTAGAAAAATTCATAATGGTAACATTTTAATGTCAAATTGATTATTTTATAATTAATCTGCCGGATAAAGATAGGAGAAACAATAAACAAAGTGTACAGTTCATTCTACTTTTTATTTTTCAGACAAATAAACAGATAAGGGGGGGAACAGGTACAGAAAAGAAGAGGGGAAGGAGGGGAAGGTTCAGCAAATAATCAAATAGTACATTGTGGGCATCACATACCCATGGTCTGTGCTATAGATGAACAGTTTCTAGTAGGAGGTTTTCAGGTGTCTTTGACAATAAGGGTGGCAATGGCTTCTTTTTATGCATACATTTTTATGGTGTGGATAGCGTACATTGTACGTTAGTGGTACGATCTCCATGCATCCCAGGCGTTCCATACTGCCTTGTTGTCTGAGATGAGGGCCACAATTTACTAAAGTTTCGTTCATAAGTGTGTTGACCATCTACGTCCGAGGTTAGCATATACATAGACGGCATTGTGTGGACTTCCATGCTCTGGCTATTAATTTATGGGCTGACAGTAGGATATGGTAAATGAGTTTCCATTTAAATTCGGGTATCCCTTCTGGGAGAAGCATGGGTGCATAGATTTGTGGGTTAAGGGGTATTTTGAGTTTGGTCGTTTTTTCAAGGAGGGTTTGGACAGTGGAGTTCATTGTACTTTTTATGAGCAGATATTAAATTTGCACTTTACAGAAACACAAAGATCTACCCACAAAAGTGTGGATCTTGTTTATTTTTTTGGATAAGCATTTCAAATGATTTAATAAAATGATTTTTGTACACTATTAAAATATCAAAACATATATTATATATAAAAAATATATTAATATATCGAAATATAAAAATATTAAATAACTTTAAAAGCTGATACAAATTATTAAATCAAGTCTTGAAATGACAGAATATGAGGATTTATGGATATCATTGGAAAAGTTTACATTGGGTAAGTTAAAAGAGTTTTATTACACAGCAACTTGATAGGCCTGGGAATAGGGTCTTAGCATAAGGAGAGGTTTAAGTCTATTAACCACTCTGCGTGGATAATTGTGGATTTTTGGAATCAGCATGCAAGTTTATAGACTTTATAGACTGCTTCATCCACCTAACATTCACCAAACATCTACCAAATGCCAGAATTGTTGAACCTTCATGTTGAGTTAGCAGATCTTTAATCCATAATGGGTATCAGGAGACTGTTTCCTTGTTTTTTATTTTTTAAAATGGAAACATAGATTGTTACGGCAGATAATAACCATTCGGCCCATCTAGTCTGCCCAATTTTTGAAATATTTTTAATTAGCCCCTGGCCTTATCTTAAGTCTAGGATAGCCTTATGCCTATCCCACGCATGCTTAAACTCCCTCACTGTGTTAACCTCTACAACTTCAGTTGGAAAGCTATTCCATGCATCCACTACCCTCTCAGTAAAGTAATACCTAATGATATTATTTTTAAACATGTGCCCCTCTAATTCAAGACTATGTCCTTTTCTTATGGCAGTTTTTCTTCTTTTAAATATAGTCTCCTCCTTTACTGTGTTGATTCCCTTTATGTATTTAAATGTTTCTATCATATCCCCTCTGCATGGGTATGGTTTCAGTAATTCATGCATTAATTCCCATTTTTACCCTTAGACAAAACTACCTCCAAATTGCACAATCCAGTGAAAATCCCTGAATGTGATTTAAAATTGCCATCAAGATATTGATCTTTGGTCTGGAACATTTCAGATTCTGCTAGAAAAAGGAGAAAACATATGGTTTACAAATCATGACAATATGGTCCATTCCATTCCCTCATGCTAAATGATGTGGTGCGAGGGTTAATAATACTGATATAGAAGAACATGAATTAACATAAAATATGCCTGCCAGCTTTGCTCTCAGCCACTGGGCTTTAAGATGTGGGATAAATAAATAATTACGGAGTCCAATTAATTCCTTATCTACAAGGATTCTTAAGCTCCTCTTCCAATTCAAAGAATACATAGGATGCCCAACTTGAATACTAACTCCCACTTATAATAAGATTCTAGAGAATACCCAGTTCCCTGGCATAAAAGTGTCATGTTATACTATGCCAAGAGATGGCCGGTCCCCAGAATAGCAAGAGCACTCTCACAGAGCCAGGAAATGGCAATGTTAAGATATCTATTCTTTCCTCCTCATGCCACTAAATTTGCTGGGACATCAGATGATCCAAAAGCAAAAATTACTGCAGGGCTATAAATCCCACCTACGCATTTCAGAGCAATTCTAGCTCTATTCAGAGTTGTGTGGGTCATTCAGGCTGATTTGCACAGGCCCCGACTTAGAGCTCATCCTGAGTAATTAGAAAGCAGTGAGAACCTCCTATTTTGCTTTCAAATTTCCCCTTATGATCTAAATGATTTTATCTAAATTTGACTTTGAAAATTCAAAATTTAGGTATAATCGCAAAGTATTTTTTTTCAATTTCTGATGATTATAAGTATAGTGAATATCAACAGAATTTAATAACTAAATGTGTTACTAGAAAATGAAACGTTGATAAATAATCCTCACTATTTTTCATCGTGCAAAATATTGATATATTAACTGCATTGATGATCTCCTGAAAAAACAAATTGTTAAAGGAACACTATAGATTTTGTAATAAAAATCTGTATATACTATAGTGTTCTCCTCTTTAAGTATATTCATGGTCCCCTAAATCTAAATCTAAATATGAATAAAGGATATTACTTACCTTATTTTTTTTCCCGGTACCGAGATTTACTCTATGCAGCAACTTAATCCACCACTCACAACATCACACCGATCCTTCTCTTTCTGTGCATACACTTTGCGCCCCCAATACTGCTCTATGAGCTTCACTCCTCTAATGAAATGGAGTTCCACTCAGTTTTAATAGCAGAAGCACCTGTAGGGGCTGTTAGATAGACAGCCACTAGAGACGTACTTAACCCTGTGATGTAAACATTGCTGTATCTACTAAACAACAATGCTTTACCGGGAATGCCTTTACACGGAATGCCCAACTTGTCCCCACTTATAATAAGATTGAAGTGGATACACAGAACCCTGAAATAAAAGTGTCACTTTTTCTTTTATATTATATTATGCCAAGAGATAACCAAGTCCCAGCATTTCAAAGGCACCCCCACTGAGCATACCCCCAAACCCTGTACAGCGTGGTAATAACAGAACCAACAAGTTCAACAGGATAGGCAAATGTGTTATACATCTACTCACTGAATTGCTGCAGCCCACATTGTCACTTGCTGAAAATTTGATTTTCTTAACCAATATTCAGATGGGGAGTTTTACCAGACAGATTTATGGTGAACTGATATGATACATGGAGAGCAAAAAATGGGTCGCAAGAGTATTCTGAGGACGGACAGCAGCTAAAATAGCCTGCCCTTCGGTGGGTCCCTGCTCAGAACTCAAGCTGGTTTTAGCTCAACTTGTGCCATTACAGAGAGAACATATCTGAAGCATATCAGACTGGTCCCACCCATACGGGCAGTCCAGATACAAAATGCCAGCAAGTTCTCTCTGCACGAGAGATACAGCAACCCCAGACGATTGTTTCAGCCTTGTTAGGCATTGTCAGTGAGGCATAGCTGATATCTCTATAGGCACCGTGAGCAAGGGGTCCACGTCTGGATTACCCTTTAAACTAATGGAGAAAAAAAAATGGGTCGCAAGAGTATTCTGAGGACGGACAGCAGCTAAAATAGCCTGCCCTTTGGTGGGTCCCCGCTCAGAACTCAAGCTGGTTTTAGCTCAACTTGTGCCATTACAGAGAGAACATATCTGAAGCATATCAGACTGGTCCCACCCATACGGGCAGTCCAGATCCGAAATGCCAGCAAGTTCTCTCTGCACGAGAGATACAGCAACCCCAGACGATCGTTTCAGCCTTGTTAGGCATCGTCAGTGAGGCATAGCTAATATCTCTCTAGGCACCGTGAGCAAGGGGTCCACGTCTGGATTACCCTTTAAACTAACGGAGAGCAAAAATTGGGTCGCAAGACCTCAGTATTCTCTTGCGACCCATTTTTGACTCTCTACAAGTTTAAAGGGATAATCCAGACGTGGACCCCTTGCTCACAGTGCCTAGGGAGATATCAGCTATGCCTCACTGATGATGCCTAATAAGGCTGAAACGATCGTCTGGGGTTGCTGTATCTCTCGTGCAGCGAGTACTTGCTGGCATTTCGGATCTGGACTACCTGTACGGGTAGGACCAGTCTGATATGCTTCAGATATGTTCTCTCTGTAATGGCACAAGATGAGCAAAAATCAGCTTGATAACTGAGTGGGGACCGACCCAAGGGCAGGCTATTTCAGCTGCTGCCTGTCCTCAGTATTCTCTTGTGACCCATTTTTGACTCTCTACAAGTTTAAATGGATAATCCAGACGTGGACCCCTTGCTCATGGTGCCTAGGGAGATATCAGCTATGCCTCACTGATGATGCCTAATAAGGCTGAAACGATCGTCTGGGGTTGCTGTATCTCTCGTGCAGCGAGAACTTGCTGGCATTTCGGATCTGGACTGCCCGTACGGGTAGGACCAGTCTGATATGCTTCAGATATGTTCTCTCTGTAATGGCACAAGATGAGCAAAAATCAGCATGAGAACTGAGCGGGGACCGACCGAAGGTCAGGCTATTTCAGCTGCTGCCCGTCCTCAGTATTCTCTTGCGACCCATTTTTGACTGATATGATACATGATTAAGGTCATAGGCCGAAACATTGTATTTTTTTTATTTTGAGTTCCTGTTTCCAATAAATATTCATTAATGTGCCTACCCTGCAGAACCTGTGGATTCTCTACTATTGCTATAATTGTGGAGGCAGCGGTCCTCCACCACTGTGTACCAGGCTACATATTGGATCGCTGCAGAGCATCAATTGCCAGCATTTCGCTCATGAAAAGTAATCAGAGAAATGGCACAACAAGCTTATAAAAATTCACAACAAAGGTTGCTATTACTTTAAAGTTTAAACCTTCTATAGTACAGGGCGACATTATAACGTGCTACCAATCAACATGATGAAACTATGTGTCCAGCAAAGCATGTTAGCTATAGGAACCTTATATACAGTTACGTCTGTATGTCTGTATGTCTGTCTGTCTGTCTAGATGTATTTTTCAACCAGTTATGATTATTTTGCTATAAACATAAAAATGTTTAATTTCTCAAATTTTCTACTAAATCGGCCCAAATTTTGCAAACCAGATCATCAGCACACCAAAAGTCTTTTTGGTAAAACATCCCCATGTGAAAATGGTTTTAAATTTTGTTTTAATTCTCAGCAGGTGATAATATTGGCTGCAGCAATTCAGCGAGTAGATCTGTAACAAAATATAATGATTATCTCTAACATCAGTAGTTGAGGCTGCTTTGAGTCCTTCTTTGATTCCTTCTTTTGACTGCATTCATAGTGTTGGATGTATTTTTATTTTTCACCTTGGAGGCAGCACAATGAAAATCTTGGCTACAAACTGAGACTATAGTGTGCAGCCATCACAAAGCACAGCGGGGTCTCCGTGATCATGAAATAATAAGTATTGGCTGCCAGAGAGACATGCAGAGCATTGTGGTTAAATTGGTCACAGACCCTTCCAAAAAGTAGTATGCAGCACTTTCAACATTCCCTTAGGAAAAAAGGTGAAATAATACAAATTATGTTGCTTTTGAACCTACAAAGGAAATGAAAATGTGAAAAAATATTTTTTTATTTTTTTTTATTTTTAAGTGGATCAGGAAATCCTTTTATTGTAATGCATAATGTGAATCATAGAGTGCATAGTGTACCTGCAGAAGTCACAACACTAAGCAGAACTGACAGAGACCGAGAGAAGTAGATAAACAAGCCCTATGTGTGATAAAAGTTTTAAAGCAGGTATCGGTGTTGCCTGCTGTCTCTAAATTGGACCACATTGTAGTGTTAATCAAAGAAGCTTATAAAAGACTTGAATTGCTAAAACAGATTTTAAAAAATCTATTATAGTTGTATACATTTTGTATCTTATGTGTGGGTTACAGTTTATGTGTTTACAGGGCCGGCGCTACCATAAGGAAAATAAGGCATTCACACGGGGTGCCGACCTGTAGGGTGCACCCACTGGGAAGTTACCTGGTGGGTTGCCCTGCTGTTGTGTGTGTGTGTAAGTGACACTGTGAAAATCAGTGAGTGTGTGTTAGTAAGAGTGTGTAAGTGACACTGTGGGTGTGTTAATGAATGTGCAAGTGACACTGTATGTGTTAGTGAGAGTGTGGAACTGACACTGTGTGGGTGTTAGTAAAAGTGTGTAACTGACAGTGTGTATGTCGTTGAGAGTGTGTGTTAGTGAGAGAGTGCACCTGATAATGTGTATGCCAGTGAGAATGTGCGTGTGTAAGTGACACTGTGTATGTTAGTGAGAGAGTGTATGTATTAGTGAGAGGTTGTTAGTGACACTGTGTGTGTATGTCAGTGATAGTGTTTGTGTTTAAGTGACATTGTGTATATGAGTGAGTGTGTGTTAGTGAGAGTGCATCTCTTTCTCTCCCTAAATGTGTGCTCATTATGTGTCTCTCCTAAATATCTCAATAGTCTCTATCCTTTCCCCAAAATGTCTCCCCAGGCTGTTTCTGTTCTCTAGATTTTTACCACTGTGCGTCTGCTTTCACTTAAAGTGACACTATAGGCACCCAGACCACTTCAGCTCATTGAGGTGGTCTGGATTCACTGTCCCAGGGCCCGTTCAGGGTTAACTACCGTTCAAGGTTAACTCCGCCTCTAGTGGCTTTGCATGGGGAGGTCCAGCACCATTCAAAACCCCATGGAAAACACTGTATAATCCTAATGCGGTCATTGAGGAGCGAAGTCAGACCCTTACCCATTTTGTCGCCCCCTCATGAATGCAACTACATTCCCTCAGAGGTTTATTCACTAAACTCTGAATTGCAGGGAGGAGACATTTAGGGTTTTTAACCCCTTCTGCACCATGAAGTAGGGGAGCTTGACAGAGGAGGACGCTATAGTGCCAGGAAAACAAATTTGTTTTCCTGGCACTATAGTTTCCCTTTAAAGTCTACTCAGTGTGTCTCTTTCCCTAAATGTCTCCTCACTGCAATTCAGAGTTTAGTGAATATTGAGATATTTAGGAGAGAGACATAATGAGCACACATTTAGGGAAAGAAAGAGATGCACTCTCACTCTGAGGGAATGTAGTTGCATTCATGAGGGGGCGACAAAATGGATTGTTGCCTAGGGCTGCAAGAATCCTTGCACCTTGTGTTTAGAAGCAAAGGCTGCACACATGCTGATGTTTCCTTTTTGAAAGTCTGTAAATAGCTTTTGATTTTTGCCCAATCAGCAAGTCTGTCTAGCTTCTCTGGCAGTGATCGTTGCATTGCTTCTTCATTTCAGTCAGCCTTACTTTCTGATATCGATCCAATCCTACCTGTTCTGACCCAGCTTGTGTCATTGATGCAGTGGTGCCTATCCTAGCTGTTGCCTGACCTAAAGGCCAATTCTCCCTTCCCAGACCCACCTTGTTTCTTTATGGCAAATATGTTTTAGTTATTTACCAGACTTTTTACATACACTGGCTGACATTTAATGTACTGAGACTAAGGGCCCTCTTTAAAAAAAATAGTTGAAAAAAAAAAACTGAAAAGAAAAGTTAGGAAACGTACTTCTAATCTATGATGATGCTGGTCCAATGGGACCTATGGTGCATGTGCCGACATGGCTACGCCAATCCGAAGTGTCCCGTTGAGAAGCACTGGAAGTGTTTGTCATCATACATAATGACCATCCATTTTTGAAGATTTTAAGTTGGTAGTGCCTCTAGTGGCTTTAAGTCTGATGGCTGCAGAAGGTGTATTTTCTGACCAAAGCAAACATTGCCTTGGAAATTGTTCCATTTCTTGGTTTTGGTGCTGTGTCCCTTTAAAATAAGCATATAGATATAAAAAACATAATTGCAGTATTTGTAGCTTGAATCTTGCCTCTCAATGCATAGCTAGCCACTCATCAAATTCCTTCTCTAATTCATCGGGGCACAACGTAAGAGTTCCTGGACATTAAAAACAATCCTTTATAATATAAGGGAAAAAACACTTTCCCCCTTAAGGACCAAACTTCTGGAATAAAAGGGAATCATGACATGTCACACATGTCATGTGTCCTTAAGGGGTTAATCATGATATATATATATATAAATCCCATTGAATATCAGTTTTATTGTCAAAATTTACAGCCTTTCAGCTGTTTGCAATGAACAAATCAAACAAAAGCAATTGAAATAGCTCAACACAACGAATACTTCAAGTGCTGCTTGTTGGTGAGTAAATGCCCCGGGACCTGCTTAGTTGTTCCACCTAATCCTGCATTTAGCATGCATCAGGATGTGGGGTGAGCCCCATATTTTGGTGGGTAAGACAGGGCTGTTAAATGAAAAAGGGTTGTCACTGACGAAATATTAACTTGGAAAGGTCCTTGAACTCCCTCCTATCCCCTCACACAATATAAGGTTGGTTAGAGATGCAGCCTATTAGTATGGGTTCCTGTGGAAACCATCAGCAGTACCTCTCTGATTACAGTGATCCATTAGATACATTTTGTATCAACCACTGTGGTATAAGGCAATGAGTGGGTAGGCATTTTCTTTTTTTAAATATCTATTTGAATCTATTAATCTTCACACCACCACACATAGTAGGGAATTATTAATTGCCCCTGTAAAGGACTAGAAGGCATTTGTGCATCAGAAACAAAATATCTGGCAGTGTGTGTAATGATACTTGTTAACTGATGAGTGGGTGAAATGTAACTAATCTGAAGAAGAAATCTAAACAGTGAGAAATCATTTTAATATCACATGAGTTTAATGTGATGCACCTATTATTTTGCATTGCTGCATTTCTAAATTAATGAGAATTATGGTAAACATGGTCACTGGCTAAATGAATATTAAATTGATTTTCACACTTCATCCAAGAT